GTATTCGTGGTTGGTGAAATAATGGAATTTTATAATGCACATTTTTATGAGTGCTACAATGATTATTTTACCAGTTCCTCGTTTGCATTCAAATTAAACGACACGATCATGTGTGTAAGGGTGTGTTTTGAAAAATTACCATTAACAATAACCCTGCGGAATTGACGTATATTAAGCTAGCAGACCATGGTCACGACGAGCACATCTAACCTACTGGGTATTTAGTTGCTAATTAGTTACACTATTTCCGATTTAGTTGCTCAACATCTGTAAAAGATGCAAGCGATCTGCTAGATTAAGTCTTAACCTAGCAGACCACAATACTGTATCTTCGGTTCTCGTAAAGATATCGAAGTTCTGCAAACGGCATATTTAGTTGCTAATTAGTTGCTGTAGGACAGCATTATTTGTATTATCCTCCCATCATCCCTTAATTGCCGCACCAGCACCCACACTACCCCCGAAATACGATAAAATTAAAAAGTGCTCATCAGAGAATATAAACTACGGCGTATTTTGTTGCTAATTATTTGCTGCAAAATAGCGTTGTTTAAAAAAATTAATTATCAGCCCTTAACTCCAGATCATCCCTGCAACCACCTCAGAATAGGACGATATCGGAAAATTCTCGTAGGTGGAAAATAGACGCGGGATATTTAGTTGCTAATTAGTTGCTCCTCAAAAACGCAGATAAGAGTATTCTACAATCATCCCCTAACCTCAGATGAAACCCCTCTACTCACTTAGAAACAGTAGATGGTTGGAATTCGCACGCAGATGTTTAAAACTGCTTGATATTTTGTTGCTAATTAGTTGCTCGCCAAAAACACAATTAAGAGTATTCTACAATCATCCCCTAACCTCATATCCACCCCCTCTACTCACTAAAAATAGTAGATGGTTCGAATTTACACGCAGATGTTTAAAACTGCCGGATATTTTGTTGCTAATTAGTTGCTGCAAAATAGCGTTGCTTATAGTATTTAACTATCAACCCTTAATTCCAGAAACTCCAGATCAGCACTGCAACCATCCCAGAATTTTCCGATATCGTCCTATTCTGAGGTGGTTGCAGGGATGATCTGGAGTTAAGGGTTGATAATTATTTTTTTTAAACAACGCTATTTTGCAGCAACTAATTAGCAACAAAATACGCCGTAGTTTATATTCTCTGATGAGCTCTTTTTAATTTTATCGTATTTCGGGGGTAGTGTGGGTGCTGGTGCGGCAATTAAGGGATGATGGGGGGATAATACAAATAATGCTGTCCTACAGCAACTAATTAGCAACTAAATATGCCGTTTGCAGAACTTCGATATCTTTACGAGAACCGAAGATACAGTATTGTGGTCTGCTAGTATCTAGCAGATCGCTTGCATCTTTTACAGGTGTTTAGCAACTAAATCGGAAATAGTGTAACTAATTAGCAACTAAGTAGCAACTAAATACCCAGTAGGTTTGATGTGCGCGTCGTGACCATGGTCTGCTAGATTAATATACGTGCGGAATTGCATCGTCTGGGTAGCACGCAACAGTGCTTTTTGTTACCTACTTACTATATTCGAGTTTTGAAATACATACTTAGTCGTAGGTAGCACTTCCTCGTTACCCTCCTTAAGGAGTATTATCGACATTAACAGTCTGCACTTGGTACCAGACCGCACAAAGACCCTCGACATTAAGCAGGCTTGTATCGCGAAACTTATAAGAGACGTCTCGAATACTAACTTGGACTTCGGAATTGTATTGTGTTAGTAGGGAGTTCTGCTAAATTCCCTCTCCACTTAAGTACCAACGTAAGTACACACTGCATATTTCGCAGTAACTTTTAGATTAAATGAATTACAAAATTATTCACCAAAGTCGCGCATGTAGGTACTAAATTTATTTTTAATTATTGAGCACGAATCATAACAGTACGTGAAATTGCCACAATTAATCTGTGGCAGTTGATTAATTGAGGTTTTCTAACGCTTAGATACATTACACTGTCCATTATAATTTAATATAAATAAATACTTTTCAACGAGTTATTATCTAAACGATTTTATAAGATATTTTTCATAAGTAATTCTTTTAACTTTTACCCTGTTGAAAATTGTTATAATCCTTTGAAAAGTGGTTTAAAGAAAAACGCATTATTATTTAAAACATATCAAAATATGTGATAGGTATTAAATATTGTATATTTTGAATCATATTTTGTATTAAACTATGCTTCACACCTATTTTTTTAATTATTGGTTCCTCAGATTGTAGAACAAAAGTTTTGTTCTGTAATCTGAGATTGGTGATATGCACCCAATATTAATATATGACGAACTCCGTGGTCAAGTGGTTTGTACGCCGGGTTTCATGGTGTCGCCGACTCGAGAGGTCCCGGGTTCGAATCCCGGTGGGGGCAGATGTTTGTGTGATGAATACGAGCATTTGTACTCCAGTCATGGATGTTTAATATGTATTTATATATAAATATACTTATATTTGTACTGTATATGTATTCTATCCGTTACCCATAACACAAGCCTTACAGTGCTTACTTTGGGGCTAGGCTAATTGGTGTGAGTGTCGGAAATATTTATTATTATTACTCAACCCACAACAAAAAAATAATTACTCATTTATCTACCTCACCTTCAATTTTGCAATTGAATTTTGTTACTGGGCATTGCAGTACTCTTTTGATAATACTATAAATGCTTTCTATGTTTACAATTACAAAGAAAAAAACCAGCGAGCCTTACAGTAGTCGCGTATGATGCGTAACATTTGAACCCTCACCTTATATAAGTAAAGAAAGAAATAAAACCTACTACAAAAGGAATAAGCCATTTGAACATTATGTTCTAAAGTCAAATCAAATAGCGCGCGCTTTCGCGACTTCCTGTTACACACTTCCGTCCCATTTCACGAAATCACTTCCACTAATTGCAGGAAAGTGAGAGGAAAGATGTTACACATCAATAAACGATATATAAAAACGCCCTGTTAGTATGCGCCTATTTTTGTCATATCCCCATTTAAAGCTCTATATAAAAATATGTGATTTCGTTCGTTCTTATTTTGTTTTCAATCTTTCAATTATTTGCACTGCAAAGTTCGTTTAGACACTCAGATCAGCTTACAAAGGATTTGGAGGTGTGGTTCATTATCAAATACCTCCGCGGAGTGGGGCGTCTCCGAGTAGCGCAGAGTCGCGGGCGGGACCGGCCGTGAAATCACTTTGTCTACCTGTCTGCATTAAATTGTAGCCATAGTATTATAGAAAGCTTTTAATTACACCTTATCCGAGTGTTTCCTAGCTCTCTTATTAGTATAGTTCTATCCTACTACATACGATTTTTTGTAAGTACGTTAATGTTGTTATGTTAGTCTGTATGTTTGATAAAATTGTATTTTAAAAAGCTTTTTACTTCACCATATCGAAGTTTTTTCTGTGCCTTATCCAAGCATATTATCGGGCTCTCTTATTAAAAAGTACGGTTATGTTCTAGGTGCAACTGCGTATTTTGTTAGTACCTATATAATATTGATAATCGGTATAATGTATTTAAAATGAATTAAGGAAAATGCTAAAATCGGAATTCAAAATTCGCGTGAATGAGTTGCATGTATTTATTACCAAGGCCACAATAATTGTTTTTATTTTTTTTCTGCTGTCTAATATCTGGTAGATAGGTTCTTTTGTTATTTAATTATACTTGTTTAAAATATAGGATCTTAACTTAGCAGAGCATTGTATGATGGAGGAACCGACATTATTATCAAGCAAGACTGGCTAGGACGCTAAGAGGACCTACCTTGAAGGGGTTGCTAAAGAGATGGATATATTGATCCGATCAAATGCAACCCATACATTCTACAGGAAGCTACCTACTCCAACTAAGAAGGTGAGTAAAATCTTGTGACGGGTGAAGCGGAGCGGAAATTTCTATGTACTTCCGTAACTTACTTAATTGCACTTCCCCAGAACACTGAGAGGATTTCGGTACTCCAGAACCATCCACAAGGAAATTCATTATTATTAGAACATGAGTTATTACTTACCATGATGTTGTTGATGAACGTGGCGAGATTTGGAAAATGAGTGGAAAGGAAACTCAGATGAGCTTTGTGTATTCGTATACACAAGCTCATATCGTACCTGTGTGGATTCAGAAAAAAAATACATTTTCCTGCTCAAACAGATCATGGAGAAGAGGTAGGAGTGAAATGTGTACTCACGTTTCGTGGATTTTACCAAGATAGCATTGATAGGGAAAACTACAATAACCTTCGAGAGTTCAAAATACCCGAAAAATTAATCCGTATGCAGGATGTGGGTCAAATTAGATGGCGAGCTAACCGCAGAATTCACAATAATGACCGGTCTTAAACAGGACTATGCAATTTCCCTGATGTTGTTCATTTTAGACCATGTGGTCCGTAAAGTTTCGTTGACCAAAGCGGGGTACGTCTGAATGGACAGACAGACGGAGATCGTCACTCTGCTGGACGAGACAGAAGTGCAGCTGCAAGTGACGAAAGGAAAGTTGCAGGGAGAAGCAGCCAAAGTTGATCTCGAAATAAACCGCGACACGACTGAATATCTTCATATGAAAAGGTACAGGGACAACAAAGAGAAGAGAAGACCTACGTGTGAAAACTGAGATTTATAAGGGTGTTGCGACATTTAAATATCTCGGTTGCACGATTATTGACACTCACACGAGACATCAAGAGACTGACATCCGCATACAGAACGCCTTGCGATATAGTGCTACTCTTCACTCGGTCTGCTGGTGTCCAAACTTCTGAGCAAAACCACTAAGATCCGCATCTATAAGACTGTTTCATCACCATGCCTCTTTCATGGTGAAGAAGAACAAGTTTCGAAAAGGAAGATTTGGCGGAAAATTCTAGAACCAACAAAAAGAGCAGACGGCAGTTGGAGAATACGCAAAAACTGCGAGATAGAAAATATGGTGGCGCACATTATACTACTTATTATACATTCATAGGTGGTGAACATTATGTGGGAGACTAAAACTCATAGTCTCAGCTGGCTGGGCCACTTAGAGCGCATGGAGGAGGCTCGGGACGTAAAGCGCGTGTACACGGGGTTGCCCTGTAGCGAAAAGCTGTTGGGTGCTCTAAGTACCGCTGGAAAGACCAAGTAGTCAAGGTCAAGTTTGTACGAGCTGTGAGGAACAATGTACCTACAAGTATCTACACAAGATAGGGAGCAGCGACTTCATCTCGTGTTGGAGGTCAATATCCACTTCTGGTCGCTGAGCCAGTGGAGTAAAATATTAAACTTTGTTTGTCCTGAAAGCATCGCACATTAGCTAAATTGGGATAGCAGTTTCCATTCCAAAAGCTAGATCACCTTTCATTATATCACAATTGACTTTTATAGTTTAGATGCCATCAGTTTATGGGTAAGGAATCTACGTACGGGACAATTACCGTACGTAGATTCCTTACCCATAAACTGATGGCACCTATTTTACGTTTTTATATATTATTAATTTATTATATAGATATATCAAAGTCAATCTTATCTACCCAAAACGAGAAAATTACACAAAATGATTTGGAACGCTTATTCACGTAATTTAGCGCCTTTTGGTAAATATTATTAACACACCTGCTGTTGCGGCCCGGTCGGTCCTTGACATTGATAGGGTCGCTTTCTACTAAGTGCTACTACCAATTTCGAGTAAACCTCCAACTCTTACAACAAGCCCATGATCCATTTGGGATGAAAATCAGAATGAATATTACTAGCAAAGCGACCCGTCCGTCGGCTTCAGTCAATTTCAATTCACTCATGAAGTTAAGAGATTTCAGAACGCTAGAAATCGTCCCAGTTGTCGAATTTTCTAGTGGTTTATGATAGATTTTTTAAAATTTATCATTTATTTAATCATTATAGCTTATCCTTATAAATTACGAAATCCTATCCTAATCCTACGAAATTACGAACGAGATAAAGCAAAATAGGATCAGTGAAATCGGTTTAACCGTTCATGCGCTGTCATAGTCGTAGTATTTTATATTTATGTTTTACATGTATGTTCTGTTATATTTCTTTGTATATTTATTGTACATATTTTCAATTTGTTCCGTTTTGGTAGTGTTTGCTTGGAACGTATGCGTTGACAATATTTGAAATAGGGAATATGTATTTTGAGTAAGTACTGTATGAACTCTTCGTTTTTAGGGGTGTAGCTCGTAAGCAAGGCAAGCTCGACGCGGATTAAGTTTTAATAACGGAATGAAACGTCACGGGTTAGAAAATCAACACCAAATACTTTAAGCTTATCAGCTTTTTTGTTTATTATCGGTTTTGATTACTTCACCGTTTAACGATCGAGAAATGGAGTTGTGGATTTGAATTCGAAGTGAAGATGTACGTAGTTTTATTTAGATATATTTCACCTCTGGGGCTAGGGGCAATTATCAGCTGACTGCTTGACGCCCCAGGGAAATATTCGGGATGGCAATAACGTGACTGCGACTTGTGCTTGTGACCCCCGCCCGGGTCGTCCCTACGCTCGTTACCCACGCCTAATTAAAATTAATCGTGCATTGCCACATTTCGAATAGTATTATGCAGAGCTGCCTCTGATTTCATTAGCTCCTCTTAGTTGGGAAGCAGTAGCAATTTATGTCTATTTATAAATTCACAATCAAGACAATTCGCATGATGATTATGTTATTAATAGGTCTGTGATAATTGAAATATAAGTTAATTTTCTTACACTTATGTTGTTGAATTATAATAGGATCTCAAAAAATTCAGTGCATTAACCAGATCAGACAGCCAACGTGATACGCAGGACGAACAGAGTTTTTTCTAGCAAAAAAAATCTTAAAAATTATTATCTATAACGAAAAAGTCAATATTCGACAATATTGACTTTTTCGTCATAGTTGCTTTACCTGAGATATGAATTGGATTCAAATTTAAGTCAACTTAAAAACGCACTTTGTTGTTCTAAGTAATGTACATTTTTTCCTTTGTCTATTTAACACAATTTGAGTTCAGAGCAATTTATAGTATCTTGTCCAATTACATTACATATTATGTACTTTATTGATACAAAATCTTATTATGGGCGCTGTCTACATTGAGCTTCTTATTAACTTCAAAATGTTAATGTGGAACCACAGCTGTTTAGTTAAAATAGCTCAAAGTTATTTCGACTTGTCGAAAACGTATTTTCGAAGCCGCACCAAGCCATTAACACTTGTGAAAATAGGTATTAAATTGGTAAAATTATATTTAGACAAGATTTCTATTTGCTTAACGTCTTTCACTCAAATCATATCTATTTTCGTATAAGTACATTATTATGTCACGCATAACATACACCACTAGTGATTATGGTGTCATGTAAGGGAAACTGTGTTAAATACTGTCGTCAATTCAAATAGCAATTTAAAATAAATCATCCATAATAACAAAGAGTTAGGTACAGATACTCAAATATTTCTTATTTTAAATCTCTGTTGCGGTCATCATTAATTTAAAGAAAAGAAACTGTTTTCACATAACCATATTCTGATACACAATTGATAAATTGGGAATACTTTAATTTTTAAAAAATTGAGGATTTGAGATTTTCGATATCACAAATCGAAACATGTCTTTTAAAAATCTTATGATGAAACTATGAAAAAAGTTAAAATCTATATATTACCTATATAAAACTCAAAGTGACTGACTGACATAGTGATCTATCAACGCACAGCCCAAACCACTGGACGGATCGGGCTGAAATTTGGCATGCAGATAGATGTTATGACGTAGGCATCCGCTAAGAAAAGATTTTGATCAATTCTACCCCCAAGGGGATAAAATAGGGAATGAAAGTTTGTATGAAACTTTGTCAATTTTAAACCGATCGGGCTGAGACTTTGCATGTAGGTATAAGTAGAATCATAGATGAATGTCATTGTGTATAATACAAGCCTGAGAACAAAAACTGTAGTCTTCACTTCAGCTCTACACCGAAGCGAAGCGAGGGCGGGCCGCTAGTAGTGTCTAAACCTGGTATCGTCACTTTAATTTCAATGGCACCTATAAAATAAACAGCTGTTTCATTTTACACAAGTATCTAAATTTTTATTACCGTTTCGTTGTAAAGTTAATTCATTATAAGGCAGACTGGCGGATGCAACTCATTTCAATTTATCGAAATGTTGGTTGAACACCAAATAGCTATTGTCTGGGCAAAAATTATTATTGGTGCATTGTCCAAAAATTTAGTGATGGTTGAATATTGTGAATTGTGAAGAAAACTTCAAACTTCTTAGAAACATTGTCGGTTGGTTTTGGAGACAGGTATTATAGACAGCGCTTTTGTAACCCCTTCGTGACAGTTTGCAGCAAATATTTTGTTGCGATCTTTTTTAGTTTGTAAGGTAGAATAATGGGTTCTATATAGACAAGGTAATGGTGGTTCCTGCGGTAAGTTTTTATGCCTCATGAACAATCTTCGAAACTCAATCACAATCACACTGGCCATTAAATTCTGGGAGGTATGTTACCCTAGCGTAACAATTTCATAAGTCCATATGCTAAGAAATATAGTATTTTGTTGCTATTTTGTGCCGCAACAATTGATTTTGATGCTCCAATATTTATAAGGGTAGTTAGCCCCCCATGAAGGGCTGATATTTTTTCATATCTAACCAGCTTATCTTACAGTAACAAAATATGCCGTTCATCTGATATCTGTAACTGCTTTTGCCTCCGAGATATCGCTGTGGCACTATTACCGTGGCTGTGGTTTCGCTAGCGTAACAGGCGTTTTTCGGAGATCTATTGGAGCAACAAAATCAATTCTTGCGGCACAAAATAGCAACAAAATACTATATACCTTAGGATATGGACTTATAAGGTAATATACCTGATTCTGGGTATAGTAATTTGCTAAGCATCATTTAATAATAATAATTATTTGTAAAAAGATTGTACATGGTAATATTCTTATAAATATTTAAAATAAAATACTTGTGTACATCAATTTGATGTCAGTTTAGGAAGAAATGGATTCTGAAAGAAAAGTGGCGCCGAAAACTTCTAACAAGAACATAAAAGAGGGACTGTAACACAAAAACTGAAATAATAACAATTATGCGCATTAAAACTCATTAGTCATGTTGTTTCATAATAACCAAGTTCGTGGGAAACAAACATTCAGTGAAACATTTACCGCAAAAAATATATTAAAGCTTATCCTGTCGGTATCATTCTTCCTACATAACGACAAATTATAAGTTAATTACAGTCAGTATTTCATCCTTTAATAACTGTAATTACGTTTAAGTCACTTTAGACATTGCGCTCGCAGCCCGCGAGCTTTTTAGGAGCCTAGCTTTAGCACTAAATTGCAATTAATTCATATGTTATTACCTACGTACTTACAATTTGAAAAATATTTCTATCTACAGCATTAGTTACGGTGATACAATACATCATTTTTGTCCATCATGATAGACACAAGTCCTGGGTGTCACTGTTAACTTACTTAACCCTGTGTTAACTTTACCCTCTTTTTACTGCAATATTTATAAAGCCGGGTACTCATTAGCGAGCTGTAACCGTAACATGCGTGATACAGTATGAGGTTCTAGTGTGTACGCTTGTAGCTCAGTTGAAAAAGGTCGGCTCGCTGCAAACTGCACGCTTACCGCTCGCAGCAGGTTATACCACGTACACACTATGCTTTTTGGTTACAGTGCATGCAACAGTTACAAAAGCATAACTGATCATTTTCAACCGTAAAAAGCATAACTGATCATTTTCAAAAAGTAATTACCAAGAACTTAATAAAGTACATCGGTACTTCTTTTTTATTTTGCAACTAAAAAATAATCGTTTCTTAGGTTTTCACGCACATCACTCATTAAATAAAACTAGTTTTTTACGGGTTAATGCACGAAACTTTATTTATTTATTGACGTTTCGTAGCCTTTACAGCTCAATAAAAAGTCTTTCGAAGGTAGCTCGACAAAATTAAATAAAATTTGATTCTGACAACGTAGCCTGTAAAGGCTACGAAACGTCAATAAATAAATAAAGTTTCATGCATGAACCCGTAAAAAACTAGTTTTATAAAAAATAATCATTGGATATCAGGCACATTTCGAATCTCGTAGAATATTA